ACTCACTTGCATAAATCATGAGGTGAAAAGCACTTAATCACGCAAAGTAACTCGCTCTGGGCCAGGGTGGAAACGACAGCCTTGAACATGCCATTCTTTAGTGTCAGAATGGAAAATGCTCGACTAAATCTCAATTTGGCTCAGAGGTAACGCTCTTGCCTCTAAGTCAGATCATTGTTAGTTCAAATTTCTCTCCAGAGATTCGAGCGAGCATTCTAGGCTGATATTTCATTGCAGTGGTGTGTGAGTACCGCACTGTTGAATATGCTACTTTTGGAATGACACATTAAACTGAAATCCTGTCTGCTTTCACAGGTGGACATGCAACGTTTTGAAAGATGGTACTATTTTGAAGAACAGCAGGGACATTCTCCTGAGTATCCTGACCAATATTTGTTGTTCAACTGACACTACACAAAACACTGATCTGCTCACCACCTCATTACAGTTTATGGGATCTTGTTATGCATAGATTGGCTGCCACATTTTCTACATTGCCAACAGTGACTAGACTTCAGGAATGACATTGGGATATCCTGAAAATGCAAAAGACGCTACGTAAATGCAAATTATTTCCTTCTTTTCAGTCTCTCCCTTGCCCAGGGAAACAAAAGCTAAATTTAGTAAATTTGCTACAACCCAAGCCGAGGGCTAGGCAGGCAGATAATCAGCCAGGTTTGCTACTACAGCTTGGATTGTGTGACTGTGCAAATCAAGTCCTGCTTTTATTACACGGCATTACGGGATTTCTTGCAAGTGTTTCGGGATCAGTGTTTCCAATTCCATCCACCTTCCATGGAAACTACAGTTCAGTGGCCTTGTTGGTTGCAAGTAGCTCAAGCTGGAAAGGTGGCTAGTGTCTCAGATCTGGCAGCAGCGCCTCACATCACAGAACAAGGCATTCTTAAAGCTCACAAATGAAGAATGGCTCCTTGAGGTTGAGAAGGGCACACTCCTGCCGCCTGTGAAACCAAATTCCAGCAATCCTCATGATTTAGAATGGGTGAATGCAGAAGGAGACAAATAACAAATGTTCATTTACCTCCCAGTTTAATGAATAGAGGTATTCATCCAGTCTAGATGTAATTCCTTAACTAGATTGTGGGCCAGTTAAGAGCAAAGGCAAATGCAAGAAACCTTCCAAGCTTATTAAAAGTGATGTTACAATACTTCTCGACAAAAGGAATATTCAAGTTTATTTATTTGTTAAAATATATGTTAGTTGTAAAATATCTATCTGTACAATATAAAACATTCCAAATAGGACATTAACAAAAATACAATAAAATACCACATTTCTCAGTTGAGCATTTTGCATTTGTAGGTGTTTCAATCCAGTTGCAAACTTGTAACATATATGGCAAGTATTTTATACAGTCCATCTCAGGATTAAAGATAAAGGTAAAGGTGCCAGAGGACCATAGGGCTGCTCTCTCATTAGACAGAGATGACTGGTGATGAGTTTAACTGCAGGGTCATCATGCCTCAGGTGAGGGGCGAGGTTGAGAAGGCACGATCTTCAGGGTAACCTCAGTTGTTGCAGAAACTGTCGGTGTTACTCTGTTTTGCAAACCAGCCGTCCAATCAACTCAGCTAACTGAGCCCAAGGGATTTTATTTTTAACAGACCCTCAGAACATTATGTTTGAAAGGCCTTATTCAGAAGCCTTTCCTTACTGTGCCTTGGCGGCAGCTGCCTTGAACTTTACCATATCCCTCAGCATGTAGATCTAGATCCTGGAATGTGCTCGTCTGCAATACATGGTTGAGAACAATTCTTTGCACTGGAAGACCAACAAGTATCAGGCTGTCCAAGGAGCAACTTTCACCAAGTTGACGATCATCTGGGCAGGGTTGATGTTTGTCTCAGTGTGGGCCTAGTAACAGCCTGTAGAGCCCAGAGTCATGTGTCACAGAGCTGTTCAGAATGAACTGTATCCAAAACCATTCCATCTCTTTACAGACTCTCTTTGCAAAGACACATTTCAGAAGGACGTATGTGAGGGTCTGTTCACCACCACTGCCATCTCAAGGGCAATGTGTGGTGGTGCAGAGAGTCTGGCTGTACATGAATGATCTGATGGGTAGTGTCCTTCTCACTACCAGCTAAGCTACATCTTGGTGCTTGTTTGAAAGTTCTGGCAATGACGCATTCTGCAAAAACACTTTGACAGTCTGCTCAAGATCCTCTGACAGAATTGACTGTCTGCCTTGGTGGCCTTACTGTCAATGACGCTTTTCTGCACAAAATGTTCCATGAGGAGCGGGTAGTATGGTATGATCCAACTACCTGGGGCATTCCACAGTAACGTGACCAGAACCATTCTTTGCAACACTGGGGATGGATAGAACATCAGCACATAGTGACTCAGTATTCGTTTACCGAGGGTTCACATACAACTTGATGCAACTGCACACAAAGGTAGCCACCAGGATGAGAATGACATTAGATACATTCATCCCTCCTCTAATTGTCCGATCTGCCCACGGTGCCCACATTTGACCTCCAGGCAAAGTAGAACATGGCTTCTCAGCTTTTTGACTAAGACTAAGTCTGAGTCCCAAATTGCGAATCTTTAGATTTTTCACTGCTATTGATGGATCTCAATGCTGGCTTAGGCCTAATGCTGAAACAGCTATCATTCAACCTTTTAGCCATGTCTGCTGGAACCTTTGAGCTCTGAGGGCTCCACAATACAGTCAGGGTGACTGCAAAGAGGTCAGATGAAGGACTCTCTGTCGACTGGACCTACTGGAGTGTTGCTTGGCTCCTGTGGGGATCGGTCCATAAGATTTCCCCCGCAGGGGTAGTTTGATTTCATATTACAGATTTTTGCAGGATGTATTCGACTGCTGATAATTTTTGAAAAGAACGGATGTCAGGGGCCCCTGTGAGCACTTACAGCAAGACTTTGTTTTCTCTGCCATTGCAGATGAGTGTGTGGTTAGTGTTCACATGGAAATCCCTGTGGCTGATGTTTTCATGTTCGTCAGCAGATACATTCAGCTGGGATGGTAACTACACTGAGGTGATAGATCCTTTGGACACTGGACAAGTAAATAACAGGTCATGGTGAAGGAGGAAGCCACTGGGACCATAGTCCTCTCACCTTCCAGCTCCACCAACAGAGAGAGTCAGGATGATTTGGTGTAGGTGGGACAGTCTGGGGGGCTGTTGGTCTGTGACAAAACAGGAGGCATGGCGGTTAACTGCAAGGTAACCTTTTGCAGAAGCTGCAAGCAGAAGGGACATTTGACAAAGGATTACAAAGAAAGCATGTGTTGCAACCTGTTTGAGGAGACTGGCCAACTCTACAAGACCTGCCCGTGATGTGGTGCTAGGAGTGCTCAAATGGTCAAAGTCAGAACTGCAAGCAGTGCTTCCCGAAAAATCACTCACACTGCCCAGGCAATGAGCTGCCTTCTTGAACTACTGCAGTCCACATGCTGTAGGTAGACCCACAATGCCGTTAGGAAGGGAATTCCAGAATTTTGACCAGCAACAGTGAAGAAGCGGCAACATATTTCCAAGTCAGGATGGTGAGTGGCTTGGAACAGAACTTGCAGATGTTGTGCTCTCATGTATCTGCTGTCTTTGTCCTTCTAGATAGGAGTAGTTGTGGATTTGCAAGGCTGGCTAAGGATTTAAGTTGTCCTGCCGATGCTATCTGCAGCCTCCCTTTTAGACAATTGGAAACCCTAATGTGATTGGTTGCCTTGCCCCCTTCTCTTCCGTCTCTATGATGCCAGTGTAGCAATGATTCCATTTGATGGTTGAGCAGTATGCCCACATTCCCTGCTGCATGCCCAGTGCCAAGGACACTTACCTAAACACCTAGTTCCTCTTTGCCCCACTAACCTTCTTATGGTGCCAGATGATGCACAGCGCCGTGAGAATCAGAAAACTCCCTCATCAAATCTGAAGCCAAGGCAGGTCTGCCCTCGCTATCCTGCCTCGCTTGTGTGTTGCGTACATCCTTTTGCTAAGTCTATCAGGAAGGATGTAGGTAGGCTTGACAGGAGCGATGATCCCATTCAGCAGAGATCGCAAATTTGAAGCCTTCCTGTGCATGGGTTATATAGTCAGCATCTGCTTGGATCCACTGCCTGAACGCAGATTCATGAGTGTCTGTGACCAGTTCAAACCCAGGTAGATTAAGGCCAGAGCAAAGTCATGTTCTTTGGGAGCTGGGCCGACAGTTCCTTTATCGCGTTCACCATCAGGTCAGATTACCCAAAGGTGCTGAGAATATGGGGTGCGCTAAAACCTGGGAGGACCATGTCGCCAAAGTGGGGCAGAGACTGGGAAAGTGGGAGCTCATTGCGGGCACAAAGATGATAGTCAGGTATAAGGTACTCTCCGAGCTGGTGTATATGATGCAGGGCTGGCCCTTTGAATGAGACTCCGCTGCCATGTTTACCCCAGCCAAAATCACTGCATAGTTCTTCTATAAATAATCTTTTAGCACTCAAGTCAAAGAATATGGCCTCACCAGTGTATGACAACCCACAAACTTGGGGCAGTCATTGTTTAGATATCTCGCACAATGGTCTATTCAGCGCAACTGCAAATTTGAACATTTTAACATTCCTGTGTTGTGGAACTGGAGTTAACCTTTGTCGCTGCATTTTAATTGAGGATCACGTTCGACAACAGATTATTTTTAGACTTCTGTTGTGGCTCGTTATTATGCGGAATTGGAGAATTTGAGATAGTTCATTGGCTGTGAAACGAATTGGGACGTCCTGAGGTGTTGAAAGGAGTCTTTGTTTTTATACAGGGGCGCCGCAAGGAAGGACAAACAGGAGAGGGCACTAACTAAACTCACTTCTCCCCTTTGTTAAACGCCGAGGACTGCTTTATGTATATGCATATACATTGAGAGAAACTGAAGAGGTTACTAGAGAGATCCGGTAGGGCGGATTGGTTACCTGACGAGACGGAAAAGCTGCTGAACCTGTCTAGCTGGGTCCGAGTCATTATAACACCGTCATGTGGATGGGTGGTTGGAAGAGCAGCTTCTAACCATTGGAAAGCCTCCCACTCCCTGTACAAACACCTTCGCTACCGGCCTTCTGACAGCAGGGAAAAGGCAAAGAGACGCTACACGGAGGTGCCAGGCTTACCTGGTGGCAGCACAGCGTTGACCATGTCAGGGACAGGTAAAGACAGTGGGATTTCATGGGGTTCATTAATTCACTCCTCGATAAAACTGGCGTCAAACTGCATGCCAGCAATATTGTGGGGGATCTAACAGAGAGAGAGAGAGAGAAACAGGGTAATTTGGTAAGAAACCGTCTCCTGGAGAGGGGAGGTTCGATTTATCGCTGCCTTATGCAGGTTTAGTTTATTTTTCATCGTTGGGACTGCTACATGCTGGTAATTACTCTTAAAAGTAACGAATAATGCCAAGTTTTGCTGCGTTCACGGGACAATACGGGTGATATTAAATGATGGAAGTTGAACTTTTCAGTCTTGCTGTGCCTTGTCGAGCAGCCATTGACGTGTATGTAATTTGTGTGTCAAATCTCACAACAATAACCTCCATTTATATAGCACCTTTAACTTCATGATACAGCCCAAACGCTCTGAAACAAAAATTGATATCAAGTCATATTGAGCTGTCAGGCAGATGGCAAAAGCATGGTTAATGAGGTTACTTTTAAAGGCCTCCTTTAAAGGGGAAAGCAAGAGAAGACAGGTTTAGTGAGGAACACTCAAAGTGTAAGGCACTGCTGCCATCGCTGGAGTGATGAAACTCGGGGACACTGATGAATCCCACAGATATTTCTGTGGATTGTGGAGCTGGAAGAGACAAGGAGGGCCTAAGACAAGACAGGATTTGAAAGCAAGAGCTTTATAATTGAGGCATTGCAAAACCCAGAGCCAGCGTAGGCAGTGAGCATTGGAATCAGACGAGCGAACAGGACTTAGTGCAAATCAGAGCACAGCAGAATTTTCCAATTTCCCAAGGCATGAGTTTGGGTTAGAAATTTGCTGGGGGAGGAGCGGGGGTGGGGGGAGAAGCCAGGAACATTTTGGAACAGTCAAGTTCAGAGGGAGCAGAGGTATGAATGAGAGTTTGAGTAGCTGAACAGCAAAGGCACTGATGAAGTCGGTTGATGTTGTGGAATGGAAATGGGTGGTCTTAATGATGGTGTGGGTATGTGGATGAAAACCCCACCTCTGATCTTCAAACACCAAATATGTGAACAGTCTGCTTCCAGGAAAGGGGCTGGAGCTGGTAGCTGGCGAACGGAGACTTCTTTTTAAAGAGGATCCAAAGGCAATGACTGCAGTCTTCCCAATATTTAGTTGGAAGAAATTCCTGTTGGTCCAGTACTGGTTGTGTGATCAGTATCCTGGCAATGTAGACAGTGAAAGAGTCAATTGTGTTATCGGTGAGCTAGAGCTGAGTGCCTTCAGCATTCTGGTGTTAACTGAACTGGGATTTCCAGGAATGACACTGTGGGATTGTATCTGATATAGTTCATCCCTGAGAATGTGGTGGTATGTTAATCAGGAGTCTGACTAACTGTATTAACATGAATTCCATGCAATATTCTCATTTCAGCCTATTACTTACATCAGTGATGACTGTTTTCATACATTAAATGGTACGCCTCAATGTATTAAGAGCTAACAAGGTGTAGAGCTGGATGAGCACAGCAGGCCAAGCAGCATCAGAGGAGCAGGAAAGCTGATGTTTCGGGCCTAGACCCTTCTTCAGAAAACGTAGATGCTCAGAAAATGCCAATTTCTGAAGAAGGGTCGAGGTCCGAAACGTCAGCCTTCCTGCTCCTCTGATGCTGCTTGGCCTGCTGTGTTCAGCCAGCTCTACATCTTGTTATCTCAGATTCTCCAGCATCTGCAGTTCCTACTATTCCCGCCTCAATGTATTGATTAGTCTTGGTGATTTTTTTTTTGGTTTGTAAGTGATTTTTATGTTTTACCCTTGGTGATTTTCTCTGTAAGGTGAATAGACTAGATAGCTCCCTACTGTTATTCAATGTTTTTTTAGAACATGAGTAAATACGTTGGGTGACAGCAATTCAAATTGTTACATAATTCTCATGAACAAAAGTTATTAGTTATGAAGTTAGCAAACGAGGCCGAAGATCAGGATTGGATAACCTGAAGTATGGAAGAGTATAAAGTGGATATGTTCCTAAGAGATAAAAATAGAACAAATCAAAAGGATACAATCCTGTGAGTGAATAGAGTTTTAAACTAAAGATTTTGGACTAAGGGGTAGCAGATTTAAAACTGAGATGAAGAGGAATTATTTCTCTCAAAGAGTTGTGAATCTGTGGAATTCACTACCTCAGAGATCTGTGAACTCCAGCGCAGGGATTAAATTTAAGTTGGAGGTAATTAGTAATGGATTAAAAGGTAAATGCAAGCAGACAGGAGGGGCCAAAATGAAATTGGCTACGATCGTATTAAATGGCGGAACAGGCTCGAGGGGCTAAATTATTTACTCCTACTTCTAGTTTTTAGGTTCTTAAACTCAAATTCAAAAGGAAGGCATTTAATACAACTATAGTTAATAACATCAAAGAAGACCGAAGCCCTTAGAATGAAAGAAGAAACTTCGAGGCATCCGTGTTTACAAATGGGATTGATGATCAGAATGTGGGGCTACCAATGGAGGATGCTGAACAGTTGTTTGAGATAACAACTAGAAAAACTGTAGCTTCTGTAATGATTGGAGAGTGCGGGGTGGATAAGTCAGCAGACACTGAAGACACACAGTCTAAGATATTTAAAGAAGAAATAACAGAGACACTAAGCACAATTTTTCAATTCTCCTTATAACTGTAAACAGTTGGAAAGCTGGAGGGTCTCACATATAACACCTTCATATGAGGAGGACATGTCAGTTATTCTGGTGTCACCAGCAGACAAAGTCTCTAACTTGAGATAAAAATGAGTGAGTATTTTGAATAGCAGAGAATTATCAAGCACAATTGACTCACTTTGATGCCAGGTTTAATACATTTCATTTGAAGAAGTGATAATAAAGGCAGATGTATAAATCGAATGCAAAAGTGTTTATGGAAGTTCAGAAGTCTTCCAATAAACATCTCACAGGAGATTTGTTGCAACAATTCCAATTTATGATAAAAAGGGAAATGTAACCGTGTACTTGAAGAGTTCATAGGTGGTCAGGGAACCACAGAATGGAGTTAATGAACATAGTTTTTCTCCAAACTTCCAGGACTCAATGCTAGGATGATTTTTGTTCTGAAAACAAAAACAGCCTTGTGCTGTTAGAGTGCTATATCTAAATTTGCTGATGACACAATGGGGTTTGGTAAATTGTGGACACTTTATTAGATTGTGTGTTGGATGTGCGTAGAATTACATCAAATGTATTGCGCAGAAGTAGGTCATTCAACCCAAAAGGTCTATAGCAGTACTTGTTCTCCGCTTGAGCTTTCCCCAATCCTTGCTGAACTCACTCTAACAGCATAGCCTGTTTCCTTGTCTCTGACATACTTCTTTAGGTTCCCCTTAACTATATCTACTCTGTTCTCTGGTGACTGCTATACTTTCTGTGACAGCAAATTCTTCCTTCTTTGTAAGTAAGTTTATTTTGAACTTGCTTTTTGATTTCTTGATGACCATCTTATAATTGATGGTTTCTAGCTTATTTTGTCCCTGCAAGTCGGAATAGTTTCTGACTCTCACCCAAGGCAAAATAGAATAACCTACAGGGATAACCTTAAAGTTCTGGTATCATCTTGTAAGTCTTTCTTGGACCCTCTCCTGTGTCTTTATTTTATAATACAGCAACCAGAACTGCACAAAGTACTCTGAATGCAGTTTACAATGAAGCTATGGGAGGATACGATTTAGAACAAGAGGAATGAGGGTGCATATCCATTATAAATACATGTTATGAATGAATAGAGAGACCTAGGATTTCAAAGACATTTCCTTGAAAGTGCAACAGGTTACAATGTCAGTCACAGAATTCTTACAATACAGTCACTCAGCCCATCGTGTCCTTACCAACTCCCTGAATGAGCAATTCACTTAATGCCACTCAACCGCATTTTCCTCCATAACTCCACACATTTTCCATTCAGGTAACAAGTGAGTTCCCTTCTGAATGCTCCAATTGAACCAGTCTCCACCACACTCTCAGGCAGTGCATTCCAGCACTTAACCACTCACTGCATGACATTTTTGCTTTGCTCATATCACTTTTTAATTTCTTTTTCCAATTGCTGAATCTTGAGTTTTATAAATTATGCCACGGACTAGAAGACTAAAGAGATAACAATTAATTTGTATATGATAGTGGTGAGCACATGGTTAAAGTACAGCATGCAACTTTCTGTGTCCTATTATAAAAAGGATATTGTGACAATTTCTCCTGCAACAGAAAAGCCAAACATGAAATTTGAGTTTTAAATTATTCTTTAAAATTATAAGACCACAAGATATCGGAGCAGAATTAGCCATTTGGCCCATCTCGTCTGCTCCACCATTTGATTATGGCTGTTTTGTTTCTTAACCCCATTCTCCTGCTTTTCTTCCCCATAACTCTTGATCTGTTACTAATAAATCTATTTATCTATCTCTGTCTTAAATGCAATCAATGACTTGGCCTTCACCGGCAATGAGTTCCACAGATTCACCACTCATTGCTGAAGAAATTCCTCTTTATCTTAGTTCTAAAGGATCATTCCTTCACTCTGAGGCTGTGCCCTTGGTCCCTAGTCTGTCCTACTCGTGGGAACATCTTCTCCACATCCAGTCTATCAGTTGTATTCTGTATGTTTCAATCAGATTCCTCTCTTCCTTATAAACTCCACCGAGTTCAAATTGATGAATGATTTTGTTGAATGAATAGAATCCCTTTGGCCCAACAAGTCCACACCAATCCTCAGAGCATCCCACCCAGACCCATTCCCCATATCTACACATCCCTGAAACACTATGGGCAATTTAGCAGGACCAATCCACCCAGCCTGCACATCTTTGGACTGTGGGAGGAAACCCACACAGACACAGGGAGAATGTGCAAACTCCACACAAACAGTTGCCTGAGGGTAGAATCGAACTCGGGTCCTTGGTGCTATGAGGCAGCAGTGCTAACCACTGAGCCACCATGCCGCCCCATGAGAGTGACAATATTCTCTGCTTAGGA